TTTTAAAAAATACCGTCAATCATAATTTCCCCAAAGCCCTCTGCTGCTAAGCTCCATATAAAAGAAATTCTTACAGAAGGACCTTGAAGTTCAGATTTGCATACCTGCGTGCCTAGCAATCCTGCCCCAAATGAGTAGGAAATTCCTATGCTAGGAAGCCATGGTATATTTTGAATTATTCAGGGGCTCAGGGAAGAAACAAGTCAATGATGCAACTAGTCACACTGAACACTCACAGTGCCTCTAAAGACATACACTGGGGCCGGCGCTGTGGTGTAGCAGGTAAAGCCGTCACCTGCAGTGCTGGCGTCCCATATGGGCGGGGGCTCGAGTCCTGGCTGCTCCACTTCCGATCCAGCTCTCTGCTATGGCCTGGGAAAGCATCTAGTGCATCAAACCACATTCAACAGCATTACAGAATTGTAACTAAGAACACAGGTTTTGGAATCAGACTATTTTAATTTTAAATCTTGTCCCACCACTTACTATGTGAGAAATGGATAAGCTAATTAATCTGTCCCATACATATTCCTCTTATTGTAAAAAGTAGATGAATACTAGCAATCTCCTAAGGATACTATTAAAAAATGAAATGTAAAAATACTTCAGTTTGGGGTTCACAGTATGCACCTGATACCTGATAAAATGTGATGCTACTAATAACATACCAGTGTCACTTCTCCAGGTAGAGTTGTGTGAGAGAGTGAAGGACGACTGAACAAACCAACAAACCAGACTCTGCAGACATGAACCTGACTGCCAAAGGCACGTCTATTCAGAACACTTCTTCAGGAAGGACGGCGTCAGGTCAGCCCACCACCACATTTTAGATGATACTAAAGGTAGGGAGGAATAAAAGAGCACCCATGTTCTATGACTGCAGCAGACAACAGTAAATTCTACCTGGTTAAGATGAATTGAAAGAACTCTGCTGTTGACTCAGAAAAAATGTACTGCAAAATAAGTAATGAAAAAAACATGATGTCACAGTGTTTGCTGTAAAGATAACTTTCTGAACTCTCATCACGTATTTTAAGAAAAACCAGATAATTCCAGATTAACAGTATATTAAGAACATTTATAATAATGAGACTAATCAATCCTAAGCAGTCTGTTTTATAAAATTTTGACTATTTAGTACTGAAGATGGGTATTCTCAAGAGGCAAAATATAGAAAAAGTATGGCTTCAATGTTTAAAACAATCATTAACATTTCATTAGGAAAAAGAATGAATTGATACAGTATTCTAACAATAACGGTACTATCATAATTACTAAAACTATGTGGCTATGTTTTGGGTTGGAAAATGAAGCTTACCTGCTGCCATGGATGCCACTGTCCGCGCTGTCTTTCCACTCCCCACTGCTCAGCCAAGGACCCTTTATCCAACAGGCTGTATCTACTCACTGTCCCCAACAGCGACTCATCAGTTTCTGGTCTCCAACTCTGACTACATTGCTCTCCCCCTCGCAATTCTCTTACAGGTAGGTTCTACCTTCATGGACCCACAGATGCGGTATGATGAAGACTGTGTGGGGGAAGAGCTTCACAGAATTTGGAAAGCTCTAGTGGGCACAGGGCCCGGTTTGGCACTGGGCACCACCTCCAGTGGGAGTTTTCCGAATGTCCACCATGGCCTCCACACAGCAATGGCCCCTATCACCAGCAAAGCAGTCTCCTGTTTCTCAGTAGGAGGAGGTAACAGGAAGCCCAGCAAAAGATAAGAATGCAGGTTTATCCTCTCCTAGCCACTCTTGTCCTGATCTTACTCATGACTTCACCTTGTGCATGGCCCACTCCACACAGGTCTTCCGACTGCTGCCCTCTCACAGTGACCACCGTCAAGGTGAGCTAGGCTCAGCTATACACTTCCAGGTTTTCTGTAGTAGGCGTCTCTTTGTGTCTATGTGTGGTATGCTGGAGGTCAGCTTCAAAAACAGGTCTCCTTAGACACTGCTTGTTGCCTCCTGCTTGCGTCTGTCCCTGTGTTGGCCACAAGAAGTCTGATCACCCACATTTCCCAGGAGATGTATCAGCGGCAGCCATGGTGAAGCTGGGCACCCACATCAGCAGAACCATGATGTGTGCTCAACACAGACAATGCCTGACCGGAATATCTCCACGCATAGATGCTGAGTTGCTTATCTTCTATCTGGCTCATGGTTCCAGACCCACCATCATCTGTGTAATCATGCAGATAAAGTATCTGCAAAGATCGGGATAGCACTGGAGAAGTACTTTGAGTATAAGCAAACTTCAGAGTGTTCTGCCTTGTTTTAGTGACTGCTACCCAAAGATATCACCTGAACTGGTCAAGCGTGGAAAGGCCTTTTCACAAAACAAAATTGGCAGGACTGGTGACAGGATGGGTGGTTGAAGGCAAAGGGACAGAAGACAATGACTCTACGGTCACCACCCTGAATGGCTGGATGACAAGGTCCCTACCACAGTAGACACAAAATAGAGAAGGTATCTAGGGAAAGATGAGCAGCATGCTTTTGGCCATAGAACATGCTGAGTTCACGTGGCTCAAAATACAAGTCTTACTGAGCACCAGTGTTGAGTCCACAGTGGTTTGAGAACCCTCAGTTTACTGGTGCCAGAACCATGGGTGGACAAGGTAGACCATGAGACAGCAGAACGCCAGGGACAAGGACCTCCTCTCTCAGGATTAGAGCCCCAGAAGGGCAGGGATTGGTGCCTGCTTTGTTTATTATGATATCCCCGGTTCCTGAAACAGCTTCTGGCAGACAAACATGCCCAACTATTAGACTGCTGAACTGAATGTCAAGGGATACTTGGGAGAGTCTGGGAATAAACACTCTGCAACGTGTTGCACATTCAAGCAAAACCAGCCAAGGATACAGCCATTTTCAGAAGAAGGAGCACTTCTCTGAATCCTGCTGTCCTCTAGAATGGGCTGTCCACTGCGGTCCCCAGATCTCTCTGCCTCTCCTTGGCAGGGCTCACACACAGGTGTCTGAGCATCCCCGTGGATGCATTTGTTCTGAAACCCATGGTGCTTCCACCTGAGTCGGCAGCGGTGCTCGGTCCCCCCAGCCCACTGCTCAGCACAGAGCTGTCCTTACCTCTCTTCACCAGACAGAAACACCTCTATAATACCTGGATCCTAGCCATTCTCCAAAACTGCCAGCGATCTGCTTATCTGAACTTAACTCACAGCCCTGAGTCCCTGCACAATGATCTGATTATTTTAGGATTGTTCTGATGTATACTCTGCTATCCCCACATCATTGAGAGATTGCTATATGGACACAGACTGACCTGCGCCTCCATTTTTGATGGCAGCAACTTCCTAGGGCTCCAGTGGACCTACCGCTTTGCAATATCTGCTCTATTACGTTGTTTCTTTTTTTTAATCTACTCTGTGGTAACAGACTTAGCAATTCTGGCCTACTTCAAAACTTATTCTGTTATATTTAAAATAGACTTTTTAAGGAAACTTTACAAAAGCTATTACAATTAATTTGTAATTTAAATTGCCATGAATGTCATCATCAAATGTATGAATGCAGCTAGGACATGGGATGCTAATTCAGTGAGTCAAATTATCTTTAAATGAAAGCATCCCAGTGTTACTCTGGCATTTCTCTTTCTGATACAGATAGCTTCAAATGATGAGTGAATTCCAAGGAGAAATAAACTGTCATAAGTTCTATAGAGTTCACCTATTTACACAAATCATATTTCACATATTTTATCCTACTTAAATTTCCATGTATGCTTGCATGTATCCACATATGTGTGCATATGTCTATCTATCTATCCCATGCATACCTGATTTAGAAAAGAAAGTACTGGATAAAAGTAAACATCAGGAATGATGGCTACACATTGCTTTCAGGGACAGAATGTGCCATGGGAAGGGCAGTGTTCAGTGACCCCCTGGACATGGCGTTCCAGTGAGTAAAATCGCTCCCTATCTAAAATACCTCTCACTTTTGCCCAGCAGGTGATTAGAACAGCACCTGCCCTTGAGTAAGCGATGGCTCACTTGCTCAGGGCTGACAGGTAAGCAGGTAAGCTCCGCTGTGGAGCATGCAGTACTCCCCATCACGTGGACAGGCAGGCTCAAGTGCGAGGCACTAGGAGAAGTCACTGGGAAGCTGAAGGGGAGGCTAAACATACAAGTCCTAGGTGCTCAGAGGGGCACTTGGCCTATACAAGAATGGCAAAGTTCCAGGGGCAAGAGCCTCTGTCTCACAACTTGCTTGTCAGCTGCTGCGAGAGTCGTGGTGGCTGCAAGAGCTTGCCGCCAGGGTTCTGCTGTGCAACCCTGGAAACTCAAGACCCCTTTCCTGGACACGTCCAGAGACCTAGGGAGGACTCCTTTCCTACTTCGAGGTGCTGACATTGAGAGGAAGTGGTAGGGTCCACTACTGAGGCAAACACAGATCATATTTTTAAAATGGTCTCTGACAGGAATCCACTCAAGACCTAACAGCTACCTTATTAAAGTGGGTTTGAAGAGCAAGGTTTATGAAAGCAGCAGCGCATGTACCTTATCTGCCAACATCTAGGTTATCACAAGGTGGTCTCTTAAAAGCAGCAAATGAAAAACAAAACACACAGAAGCAAAAGAGGACTTCCAGACACTTGAAATCTCAAATTTACTCAGCTTTTAAGATTTACTGTCCATATACTCTAGTTCAAAAATATGACAATCCATAGAAATAAACCATCTGGAATACACTTTGCTCATTCTTGAAGATTGATGTTATTATTCTTGATAGTGTTGTGGACCAACTGATACAATACCTACAAAGCAAACGTGCATACTTGTATATGCAAAATCTCTATAAATATTTTTGATGAAAGATTTTATCTGAAAATACAATTACTTAAATGTGGCTCTGAACACAGGCTCTATGAGAAAATGTAGCCATTGTTTTTTAAGTCATCAGAGCACCCCTCTTTCCCTGACAAAGCAGCACAGCGCCCTGGTGGGCTCCGACAAGGCAGGGGCACGGCGTCTCACCTGGAGGATGGACACCGTCTGGGAGAAGTGGTGCTGCTCCATCGTGGAGGTGGAGTACAGTGCCGCCAGGGGGTGGTCAAACTTCTGCAGGTAGCTGTTACTGAAGCCCCGGTGGTCCAGGTCATGACACAGGCACGCAATCAGCAGTCCTTTGCGCTTAAAAGAATAATACAACATAGAGATGTTCAAATAAAGACACAGGCCACGAGGCGACGCGCAGCTCACAGTCATAGCATATTATTTCGACCGTTTAAAAAAGCCAGCAACCTTAGGAATCTGCAAAACTGCAGATAATGTATCTCCTTCATAATCAGTTTCAGTTCCTCATCCAAAAATCAACTCAATGCTAAATTCTGACAATGTAGGCCTGCGCCACGGCTCACTAGGCTAATCCTCCACCTTGCGGTGCTGGCACACCGGGTTCTAGTCCCGGTCGGGGCGCTGGATTCTTTCCCGGTTGCCCCTCTTCCAGGCCAGCTCTCTGCTGTGGCCAGGGAGTGCAGTGGAGGATGGCCCAAGTGCTTGGGCCCTGCACCCCATGGGAGACCAGGAGAAGCACCTGGCTCCTGCCATCAGATCAGCGCGGTGTGCCGGCCGCAGTGCGCCGGCCGCAGTGCGCCAGCCGCGGCCGCCATTGGAGGGTGAACCAACAGCAAAGGAAAACCTTTCTCTCTGTCTCTCTTTCTCTCACTGTCCACTCTGCCTGTCAAAAAAAAAAAATTCTGACAATGTAACTGCTATTTTAAATAAGTAAATCGCACAGCCTTGTGGGGAGCAGCCCGGACTGGACTAAGTTACTGGAATTAAGACTTATTCTATGCATCTGCTCTCCCACAATATGGCGCTGGGAGAGAAGTAAACAGCTTCCGCACAGCTGCCTCCAGTTCAACCAATAAACAGCAGGACCCGCTCCTGATTGGAGGAGAGCAGCGTACTCGGCGTGTGGGCAGCCGAGTTAGGATTGGCGGAGGAGGACTATAAAGGAGGAGAGAGACGGCATGCACCAGGAACATCTAAGGGGAACATCTAGCTGAAGGAACACCCGTGCAGCCCCCGAGACGAGCCGGCCGGCGGTGTGCCGCTCCCCTGCGGAAGTGGGGAATGTGGCCAGGGGGAACTGCCCTTCCACGGAGGTGGAAAGGATAGTAGCCAACCCGGGAAGAACCAGCAGCAAACCCGGGGAGGGCCGAGCAGACGAAAGAACAGCGCAGGGTTCAGTGTCGTTCCTCCACGAAGAGGGGGAGCGACATAATGGTGCCGTGACTCGGATAGGAAACCTGACTCGGATAGGAAACCTAGGACGGATTAGCAAACTTAGGAGGGAAGAAATGGGAAGAAGTGGGAAATTACCGGAGAGAGAGACTAGCAAACAGCCTAGGGAAAAGCCGGACGAAAAAGGAGCCGGAAGAAGCTATTGAAAGCCTAGGCATAGACTCGGATACGGACTACGGGGGGAAGCTGGGAGAAATCTCTAAGGTCGAAAGCGAAAGTGAAAGCTAGAACAAACAGACTCGGACGCGGACTGTGGGGAGAGGCCAGGAGAAATGAGGGAGGAATATCGTTGGAGGAAAGTTTGGGGAAACATACCGGGTAGAGAAAAATGTTAGGGAAATTGAAGCCGCGGGGGGCAGGCCAAGGCGGATACGAAAGCCACTTTGGAATTCTCAAGTTAGCCCGGGAATAGGGGGCAAAAAGTTGAAACCAGAAGCTGAAACGTAAGCCAGATTGGGATCCGTCTGATTAGCCCGGGGAGCAAAGGATGGGAAGCCAGATCGTGGGGCGGAGACGTAAGCTGGGTTGAATTCGCCAGGCTAGCCCGGGGAACTTAGATTGAATGCTAGTGGCGGACACGTAAGCTACGCTGTGTGACTCCTGGAGGCTGCCGTGCGCAGAGAGAGCGTGCGGGGCATAAGTAGATGGGGAACGGGGCTGGCGCGAGGCCGTGGTTCAGACGCGAAAGGGTTAAGTGCGAGACCGCGGAGTGTGCGCGCAAAGCTAAGCCACACAGATGAGAGAGGCGCTGGCTGAAGCTGCGCGGAGCCGTGAAGCTGCTGGCAGGGCGAGGCGCCGGGAAGCCGCGGGGATAAGAGAAACAGAAGTTTAGAAGTAAAGTGAGAGAAATAGGAATGCTGGAAGATAGAAGTAAAATGGGAGAAATAGGAATGCCCGGAGATAGAGAAATAGAGAAATAGAAAGGCCTCCCCTCAACATGGCAATGAGAGAGCTTGGATTCGGTCTGCCTGATTAAGTGAGGCGATGAGCACCTGCGGGCAGCTAGCAGCTTATGCGCCGCAGGTCACCGAAGACAGGCACGAATTAACATCAGTAAGGCTTCCCCACAATACAACAATTAGGAGGCTTGGATTCGGTCTGCCTGATTAAGGCGGTAAGCGCCAGCAAGCAGCTCGACCAGAGTATGAGCTGCAGGTCACCGAAGATAGGCACGAACCAACACTAATAAGTCTCCCCCACAATACGGCAATGAGAAGGCTTGGGTTCGGTTTGCCTGATTGTTAGGGCTTGTAAGCCCCTGCGGGCAGAGCAAAGCATGCGCTGCAGGGCACCGAACACAGGCACGCATCAGCGCCTAAAAACCTCCTCACAACATGGCGAAGAGAGGACCCGGATTCGGTTTGCCTGATTGATAGGACTTGTAAGAGCCTGTGGCAACTCTAGCAAGTAGAGCAGAGTGTGCGCCGTGGGACACCGAAGACAGGCGCGTATCAACGCCAAAAATAAAAAGAAAGGGGGATCTGTGGGGAGCAGCCCGGACTGGACTAAGTTACTGGAATTAAGACTTATTCTATGCATCTGCTCTCCCACAATATGGCGCTGGGAGAGAAGAAAACAGCTTCCGCACAGCTGCCTCCAGTTCAACCAATAAACAGCAGGACCTGCTCCTGATTGGAGGAGAGCAGCGTACTCGGCGTGTGGGCAGCCGAGTTAGGATTGGCGGAGGAGGACTATAAAGGAGGAGAGAGACGGCATGCACCAGGAACATCTAAGGGGAACATCTAGCTGAAGGAACACCCGTGCAGCCCCCGAGACGAGCCGGCCGGCGGTGTGCCGCTCCCCTGCGGAAGTGGGGAATGTGGCCAGGGGGAACTGCCCTTCCACGGAGGTGGAAGGGATAGTAGCCAACCTGGGAAGAACCAGCAGCAAACCCGGGGAGGGCCGAGCAGACGAAAGAACAGCGCAGGGTTCAGTGTCGTTCCTCCACGAAGAGGGGGAGCGACACAGCCTGTAAAAATGGTGCATTTCACAGGTGCATCTAAGGAACAGAGCAAGGTAAGGGGGTGCGAGGGAAGCAGGCTTACTATTAGACACAGCAGACAGACTCTAGCTCATGAAAAAAGGTCAGATATGAGCAAAGACATGAATGGGCGGGGGGAAGCAGGAGGGCTCCCGGGAGAGGGGCACACGTGCAGGGGAGCAGACTTCACCCTTTGAGGGAGCATGGCCTGAGCAGAGGCTCAGGGAGGAGGCTGTCCTAAGGCCCTCTCATTCTGGGTGGTCAAGAGAACTCTCACAAGGGTTCCCACAGAGCAGTCATCACCTAATGCACATTTTAAAAGCTCATTCTGGCAACGCTGGCACTGTGTTGTAGTAGGTTAAGCAACCACCTGTAGCACCAGCATCCCATACGGGCACCAGTTCATGTCCCAGCTGCTCTACTTCTGACCCAGCTCTCTGCTAATGGCCAGGAAAAAGCAGCAAAAGATGGCCCAAGTGCTTGGGCCCTGACCTAGAAGAAGCTCCTGTTTCCTGGCTTCGGATTGGCCCAGCTCTGGCCATTGCAGCCATTTGGAGAGTGAACCAGTGGATGCAAGATTTCTCTCTCTCTTTTTTTTTCTCTCTCTCTCTCTCTCTTTTTCTCTGTAGCTCTGCCTCTCAAATAAATAAAATCTTTGAAACAAACAAACAGAAACTCATTCTGGCACCTGTATCGAGATGAGACTCTGGGAGGGTGAGAGAGACAAGAGCCAAGGCTTGCACAGGAACTGAGGCAAAATGCAGCAGAATTTTAGAGCAGGACAACAAGGACGCTTACACGACGGAATTAAAGTCCGCATGCATTCTGCAGGCAGAGTCAACAGGATTTTCTGACATCTGGGTGTGAAAAGAACGGCAGGGAAGGCAGGTGCGAAGTAGGACTTGGTCTATGCCCTTAGAAACTGCCATGCCTGCTGTCCCGTGATGCGAGACAGCTGTAGGTGGGACAGGTTTCAGGAGAGAGGGCAGGAGTTTGGGTCTGAATTGAGGTGAGACATCTGGTACATGGAAAGTGGTTTTGAGCTATTGGCTGCAGAAATGAAACTGCCGGTGTACAAATGCCATTGAAAGCTCAGGTACAAGCTGACCTCAAGAAGGTTATAGTTTGAGGACAGCGGATGGCCAGGGTTTGAAGCCTCAAGTACTGCAACTCTAAGAAGCCTGAGTAAGATATAGAATCAGCAAACTAAACCAAGCCAGAGAGGAGCAGCCAATATGAACAGAGGAAAAGAAGCAAGATCCTTGGTTGTCCTGGGAGTCAGGTGAAGACGCCAGCTAAGGAGGAACAGCAGACTCTGTTCTCCTAAGGTTCCAGTCACTGGTGGCCTGGACCTGCGTGTTTTCTGTGACTCTGGGGTCAGGGCCTGATCAGAGTTTGCTTCAGAAAGAGAGAGAGGAGAGACTTTGGAGACAGTACAGCAGCTTATGTATGGGGTTTGCAGCAAAGAAGGTGCAGGAAATCGGGCAGCAGCTGAGCAGAGAAGCAGATGGAGAGAGTACTGCACTCTGGAAGTAATAACTGCATGTCTGTGTGCAGATGAGAAAGAGCCAGCAGCCAAGGAAAACATGGCAGAGGCAGAAAAACAGGACTGGATGGCTAGGGAGCATTCTCTGAGAGGTGGGAGGGGACAGACATGACACCATGCAGGGTCTGCCCTGGAGAGGAGGGTGGAACTTGGTGTTTGCGAGTGCTCAAGGCAGAGCCCACCAAGGGCAGATGCTGCCAAGTGGGAATGCTGCCATGTGGGAAGGGCAGTGCCCAGGAAGCTCGCACAAGCGCAACATTTTTAAAAAGATTGATTTATTGACTGATTTGAAAGGCAGTGTGATGGAGACAAAGGGAGACAGCAAAATCTTCCACTCTCTGGTTTACTCCCCGAATGCCCCCAACAGCCAAGGTGGGGCCAGGCCAATACCAGGAGCACCTGGGTCTCCTACTTGGTAGCAGGGACCAGCGCACACCAGCCATTATCTGCTGCTTTCCCATGTGCATCTGGGGAGCGACCCAGCAGATGGAAGATCTCTTTCTATCATTCTGCCTTTCAATTAAGCAAAAACAGAAACAAACACTGCACCATGAGTAAAATCTATTATTCTCATCTTTCCAATTTTAACCCAATTTTAATGAAATTACTTTCCATAGTCTTGGTAAAATTATGCCAGAGTCATGCAAGTGAAAATATTTTTTTATTTAAAAAATTTATTTTTTATTTTTTATTTTTTTTTTATTTGACAGCTAGAGTTAGACAGTGAGAGAGAGAGACAGAGAGAAAAGTCTTCCTTCTGTTGGTTCACCCCCCAAAATGGCCGCTACTGCTGGAGCTATGCCGATCCGAAGCCAGGTGCTTCCTCCTGGTCTCCCATGCGGGTGCAGGGCCAAGCACTTGGGCCATCCTCCACTGCCTTCCCGGGCCACAGCAGAGAGCTGGACTGGATGAGGAGTAACCCTGACTAGACTGCAGCACCCATATGGGATGCCAACACCACAGGCGGAGGATTAACCAAGTGAGCCAAGGCGCCAGCCCTGAGTGAAAATAATTTGTAAAGAATTACCTTTGTTATATTTCCCCTAAAAATAATTAACTGACAAAAGTCTAATATAGCTTTATTAGAGATTAAGTTGATGACTCTTTATACTCTGTACTTTAAAAATTTAAATATATAATTTTGAGATTATTTTTATCCAAAAAGACTTGAGGCTTTTGGAATATGTAATGACATACTTCCCAAATGAATGAGGAACTTAAATGAGAGTCACTAAACATTAACAAAGTTTTTCTTATATATCTTTGAATTTTTCTTTTTATATACATATTTCAATGTTATTTGTTAGTATAATTTTGATAGTTCCTAAACTGACAGGCTATCCTTTGGCAAAAAGAGAGACAATTAGATCACTTTTTCAAAGGAAATGAATGGAGAAAATGTCAAAACTTTCAGACATACAGGGTTTAATTAAATATAAAATTGTTTAATCAAATGTATACAGCAAAACAAAACAGATTTCATCCAAATCATTTTTTGGGGGTGATGAATAATAAATTTTCACTAGGTTAAACACCACATCAACTAAATATTATTTTAAACAACAACAACAAAATTCTGACCAAAAAAACCCATAAATTTTTGACTCCTTACAGATTAAAATGGTGTCTTATTCTTGGTTCTGAAGCAACTTCCAAGTTCACTGCTTAGACTATGAATTTGCTCTGACAGATAGAAGAGGGGTAAGCTGATCTCAGGAACTCGGTTCCATTTGAATGTGGCCTTGAGAGAAGCACAACTGACTTCTGGCCTCTGTACATTGGATGTCAGCTGGAGTGTGATACCAGCTTTACAGAGAGAGAGAGAGAGAGAGAGAGCGAGCGAGCATGCCACCCAGGGAGGAAGCTCCACCGGTACCAGTGTGGGCAGAGGTCAGGATTTGCAGACGTGGAATGAGCATCATTTGTGGCCAAGCAGTGCCTTATCACTCATCACTTGGATGGGCTTTTGTGCAAAGGGATTGGGCTATGGAAGTGAACGGGCAATGCAGTCTCCAAGGAGCCAGATTGTGGGTTGTTGACAGCTTTGGTTATGTCATCAACTCTGGGTACCCAAAGTCAAGCGAATCAGTGGAGCATCTCAGAGCCCATTTCCTGCTGCTGGAGGAGACAACAGACCTTTCACATCCCCATTTGATTTAGTGCTCTCAGCTGTCCAATCAGTAGGGTCATCCAGGACTAACTGGACATTAAGAAAAGTGCACTCTGTTCACATCTCTGCAGCGCACTTAAAACTTTAATCAGGAAGAAAACTACAAAACTTTATATTCCCTTGAGGGAATACTTCGGTGAAGTCGAAGCTTGTTTATCTACCTTTCTTACACAAAAGATATGCAAAATGCTTGGGTACAGGAATCTAAACATTATGTTTCTATTCATTTATGGACCCAAATTCATCCTGATAGAATAGACCACAAATCTGTGTCATAAAATGTGCTCTAGATAGAGCACTAAACCTCTTAGATTATGTGAAAGAGGGGGAAAAAGCGAGTGCACACCCACCTCCAGGTCTGTGAACAGCCCGTAGCTGTTCTGCAGTATGGCATACATGCAGTGTGCCACGGTCACCGCGTGCTTCCAGTTGTGGTAAGGAACGCGCCGGTAGTTCTTCTTCACAGACATGATAAAACGGCACAGCTTTTCAAGCTCAAAGCTGGGGGGAAAAGAAACTGCTGTGACTGAAGCCAGCAGAGGATCACTGCAGGCCACGAGCGCCCCCTAGGTCAGGCACACGCCTGTCTGTACCCTGCCAGCCTCGCAGGAGAAATCGCCACAGGACGGGATCCGTGAGCACTGGAAACTCACCGCTAGTTTCCCTTCTAGTTCTCCAGCCAGAAAGAAGACTGTTCTACAGTTTCTGTTCTGATAGGTTAACTGTCGTACCAGGTAAAAACAGAGTCAGCACGCAGTCACCCATCATTAATCCTCATGAAGTTGTGCAAGCATTGTCTACACTCGAAAATGCACAAAGGCCAACAGAGTATCACGCTGCCCAAGAGTACTGTGTGCATTTAGTATGCCCAAAAAGCATATCTAGATTCACAGACTGCAAATATCTCTACCATGATTCTTTTCTACATAAGTGATTATTCCTTCAAAGTGAATCCAAATTGAAACTCTTCAGTGTCCTATGGTATAAGGTACAGCAGTGAAGAGCCAATTGGTCAATTTCCTAGCTGGTGTTGAAGAAATGACTGAAGTGATTTATCCTGTGTGCATCCTCTTCTAATGTCAATGTCACAGAGAGAAGTCAGAGACACCACACAGGATCCAAGAGAAGTGACAGAGAACACACAGAATCCAAACGGGACAGTTTAGTCCTAGACAAACTAAGCCGTCCTAAAAGGTACTGAAAGCCTAAATGAGTAAGAAAAATGCACAGAAAAATCATTCCTTGAATTTTAAGTTTGTACCTTTAAGGCTACAGATCAAACAAGAAGGCAGGAAGTGCAGTGAGTGCAGGCCACGGTGGGTGGTGAAGATCTGCAGTGAGATGGTGCCATGATTACCGAGAAAGCACCATGGTTTGAATTAGGAGACTTCGTTCTACTACTCCAGTCTAACAGATACATACTGTAATTGAAAGCCAAGGCCATGGCCACACATGGTATTCTGAAGATACTTTTTAGGGGTATAATTCTTTTCAGTGGTGCCCCTGCCACTCTCAGGTTCCCAGCACAAAGCAGTCTGCATATCTATTTCTACAACAGCCTCTCTGATGTGTGCTTGTTTAACTACGTGCCAAGCACACTGCCAGAGAACCCAGGAGTCTCCATGGGGACTCTGAGTAGGCTGAAGCTTTGTCTAACAACCAGAGTCCTTTTTTAATTAAATAATTAGAAAAAAATCATACATGCCAAATTCTAAGATAATTAGAAGCAAAGAGGTGGTGAGGCATCCAGGTGCAAGGGAGGAGGCTGTACTGCTCAACAGGAGAAGACAGAAGTGTTTTGCTCATTCCTACCAGGATGTCCCACAGGACCGATGGATCATATAGACAAAAATTCCAGGCCACATGTTCTCAAAAGGACCAATGTCAAAGTGGAACCTGAAATAAAGAAAGGCAGTTTGTTAGTAAATATACTTAGTACAAACATACAGAGTAAAGAAAAAGCATTCAACTTTTGTTTATAAAGACACTAAAAGAGGAAGCTCAGCCATCCCTGGTCTGCCTTCTTGGTCCCATCTCTCCTGTACTAAGACTTTCAGCAGGAAATTTCATATATTCCCTGTAGAACTGGGTCTGATTTATAAGCCACTGATTAGTTTTTGTTAAATAACACGTAAAATCAGGATTTTTACAATAAATATGTACAAAATGTTACTATGAATGTTACCCATGTATTACATAACCCATAGATAAGATGGGAAAAGCCTCATCAATGAATTATTTTAGAGTTGAAATGGTTCTATCTCCTACTATTAAACCAAGATGAAAACTTCATAGCCAGCGCCGTGGCTCACTAGGCTAATCCTCCGCCTTGTGGCACCGGCACACCAGGTTCTAGTCTTGGTTGGGGCGCCGGATTCTGTCCTGGTTGCCCCTCTTCCAGGCCAGCTCTCTGCTGTGGCCAGGGAGCGCAGTGGAGGATGGCCCAAGTGCTTGGGCCCTGCACCCCATGGGAGACCAGGAGAAGCACCTGGCTCCTGGCTTTGGATCAGCGCGGTGCACCGGCCGCGGCGGCCATTGGAGGATGAACCAACGGCAAAGGAAGACCTTTCTCTCTGTCTCTCTCTCTCACTGTCCACCCTGCCTGTCAAAAAAAAAAAAAAAAACTTCATAAACATCTAAAATTTTTACCTATTTTTCATGTGCTAATTTAGTTACCAACACTCAACTGTTATAAACAGTGAAGTATATTGGAGGGTACTTGTACAAAAGCTTGTTTAGAAATGGAATTAAAAGGTAAGTTTATTTCTTTGGGAAAATATTTTTAAATCCATGGAGTGTTATGATATGCACATTTTCCATAAACTTTTTGAAGCCCCCTCCTATGCATTCATTTCAATTTTTTTGCACTGAAATAAACTTTTCTTTCAATTCCATTTCCACAAATTTTTCAAAGTATCCTGACACTATATTTTGAATTCTAAGGCATCCATCAGCTTTGGGTCACTTCTGCAGATTTCCTATTTAGTGAAAGGTGTTTGTGTATGCTGAGAATGGACACACAAATTATCACACGTCCTACCAGTACTGACTTAAACATACAGCATAATACTGGAAAACAAGGTGTGAAAGTTGTACTAATTTCTAGATTCTTCAATTTTATTGCAAAGTTTAAATCTAAACAGAAATGAGAACTTAAAGACATCTGATATTCAATGCCATTTTTCAGTATTTAACATTTCACAGTGTAGAACATGCAATGGACTAGTAAGAAATGCCCACATTTAGGTCAATTCATTTCACAGTGGAGTTCAGATTCTGCTCTTTGAGGTAATCCCTTCAGAAGGGAAATGGCAACACATGAAACCACACATACAGCACAGGCACGGCGTCTGTGCACCTAGAACCTGCGTCACTTCAAGTTCACCCAGGTTAGAAACCTGTTCCAAGGCGGCCAAGGCGATACCCACAGCTCAACCTCCTTGCAGAGCCGCGAGGGCAGGGTGAAGCGCATGAGGCCTTGCCACTCCTCTGCTGTGCAGATGCTGTGGTAGGACAGCTTCTCCATGGTGACCCGGTAAATGCACTCCGAGTGACGGATCCTGTGGTACATCTGGCAAGGGGAGAGAGCACGTGAGCGGGAAGCAAGCTGAGAGAATGCCTGACGTGGTTCTGTCACTGAAACAAAGGTTTCCACGTGTGTGTTCACAGAGGGTACGTACACAGATGACTTTGAAGACAGAAGCAAGACACCCATCGTAACTGTTTTCAGTGTTGTGTCACCTTACAGGGTACTTTTTTTAAATCCCCTATAAGTTACCCCTTTTCCAGTTAATTGCATCTTTTAACTGATTCACGAGTGTAAACAGGGACCTATTCCACTGGCTCCAGAACAGGTTTATCTGTCACACTGGTTTAGTTATTTGCAAAAGTACACCTGCACACATATCTGAGTTTAATGGGATGATGAAACATACGAATGTGTATTTGACTAAAATATACAAATCTGTGTTACACACCTGAAAGCATTAATCTGGTACTGGCAAAACCCAAAATCCAGTACTTCAAAGACAGAAAAAATAAACAGTTAAATCAAGACTCGCTGTGCGGTGAAGGAAATGGTGAATTCTTCCCAAGAAAGTTTACTTGGACATGCAGGTGAAGAATGATTATTAAAAGTGTTTTTGTTTGTTTGTTTTAGCAGACATAGAAGCACTTAAGTCTTATATTCTTTAATATTAGTCACACACATTTTACTTTTTGATAATAAAAGACATGTTTTTACTTTAGCATTTTTATTAAAACTTTGGGAATGTGTGCAGACCACTGGAAAGAAGAGAAATACAAAGTAATGTCACCACCCAGAGATAACATGGTAAAACGATACGCGTTTCAGAATTAAGTAACTTTAAAAACAGGCCTGGCTGTGTGCATATCTGGAGAATGAACCAGAGTGGATGGAAGATGTGGGAGATGCATCTCTCTCTCTCTCTCCCCCCTCCTATCCTTCTCTCTCTCTCTCTCCTTCTCTCCCTCCCTCCCTCTCTCTCATGAAAATAAACTTTTTTAAAAAGATTTACTTATTTTTTGAAAAGCAGAGTCCCAGAGAGAAAGGGAGAGTCAGAGATTTTGCCTGCTGGTTCACTCTCAAAGGACCACGCCTGCCAGGGTAGGGCCAAGATGAAGCCAGGAGCTTGGACCTCCACAAGTCTCCCACATGGGTTCCAGGGCCAGGAACTCAGACCACCTTCCATTGCTGTCCCAGGCACATCAGCAGGGAACTGGATTGGAAGTGGGAGCAGCTGGGACTTGAACAGTATTCATATGGGATGCCAGCATCTCAAGTTAACCTGTGGCACCGTAATGCTAGCCTCATAAATAAAATTTTTAAAAAATAAGAAAGCATTCTACTTTAAATATAAAGACACAAATAAGGTAAAAGGACATAAACTAGGTACTGGAATTCTTAATAGCAGACAAGGTATATTTCAGAGCAAAAACAATTAATACAGACAAAGAAGGTCATTTGAAATTATAGCAGTCTTTGGATCACTGAGAAAACTTATCATAAATATGAGGAAACTAATAAGAAAATTTCAAACAAGCAGCAATCAGAGAACTTCAAGTAAAATAAAGAAACAAATTTACAATCACAGTTAGACATTTCAGAACCATCCTTGTAACTTATCTAAACAGATTCGAAAATTTATACAGAAATGCATGCAAAGGGGCTAGAACAGCCAAAACAACTCTAAAAATGAGGGATGGAGGTAGAGGAATTACTCTGTCTGAATCCAGCACTTACTATAGAGTAAAATAGTGTCATTCTGGCAGCAAGAGACAAAATAGATCAAAGGAGCAAAACACAGAGTATAAACAGACCTCTCACATGAGGTTGCTTGATTTTTGACAAGAGTATAAAGGCAAAACAGTAGAAAAAGGATCATCTATTTAACAAATTGTGGTAGGATAATTAAATATCCAAATACAAAAGAATAAATCAATAAATGTTCCTGACCTCGTATCATATCTTAGTATTTACTCACAATTGATATAGACCTTAACATAAAACCTAAAACTATAATATTTCCAGAAGAAAACGAAGGAGAAATACTTTGTGACCTTAGGTTGGGCAAATATTTACTCAACACAATGCTGAGAGCAAGATTTAAAAAAAGGAAAAATATATCAAATGAATTTCTTTTGTTCTTAGAAATAAGCTACTAAGAGAATGAAGAGATAAGCCAAAGACTAGGATCCACAACTGAAATACGTTTGATAAAGGACTTGCATTTAGGATATATATACACACAAGAGCCAGAAACCTCAATCATCATACAACTAACCACAAATAAGAGGCAAAAGATCAACGAAGACACTTCAACAAGGATGATGTGAAGGAGGCAAACGTGAGGGCCCCAGAATGGAGAGGGTGATTTTGGGAATATAAAAGGCAGAGTACTTTGGAGAGAAGTTTGGCAGTTTGTTAAACACTTGAGCACATCCCCACCATCAGACCTGCAGTGTCCACGCAGGTGCTTACCCAACGTAGATGACCGTCTCTGCCCACGCACAGACTTGTGCACAAGCTAACTGCCCACCACAGCTTCACGGTGGCAGTCAAAAGCTGGAAATCACTCAAATGCCCATCAACAGGTACATAAATGATTGTGTGGTATCCACACAATGGAATAACATTTCAGTAATAAAAAAGAACCAACTATTTATAGACACAACATGAGTGATGAATCTCAATATAATTATGCTGAATAAAAGGAGTCAGACAAAAAGAATGGCAATTGGATTATCTTTACAGGAAATAATTCTGTACAAGCAACAGCCAAGTAAGTTACAGTGACAGAAGGCAGATCAGTGTGGTTGCCTGAAGACAGGCAGTCACAAGGGAGGGATCCCACAGGAGTCCACAGAGACTTCTGCAGGTGCTGGACACACTCTTCCTCACTGTGCTGGGTTCCGGGTGTGCATGTGTATCAGGTTCTACACTTTAAACACCTGCACTTTCTTGCAGACTCAGGTGAGAGCTGTGTCTGAGTTGATCTCCGGGAACTAATAAGCATGTGGGAGGTGAGGATAATATGAATTCTGTGCTGCTGAAGAAGTGAGTCTGAAGGAGAGGCCAACTCAACTGTCATGTTTTTCACCTCACTTAAAAGTGCACGTGGCAGGTAGCACACTTCACAGAGATGGGGGAAGAATTCTTAATTCTTAGCATCATTCTCTGCGCTTGTGTGCCCATCTCAACACTTCCCTCTGACCCGAGGGATCTGCTGGCAGGCTCCCCTAGCATCCCTAAGACCACAGTTAGTTTGTTCCCGGCTTGTGCTTCCCACTTCCCTACCATTGCCCGTCTCCTCTAGTGTTGGCTGCTGCTGTCCACCTGCACTTTTTTCTCAATGCACACCCACGTTCCCCCTGATCTCATCTCTCCTGTTGCTGATTCCACCATTCAACTTGTCTAGTAAGTGTTGCCTCTGTTATCTTGCCAGTTATTCTCTTTGGGACTTCTACAATCTCACTCTGATCCCTTTCTGCTGCGTTTTGCCAAATGTTACTGATGATCAGATTACAGATTGCGATGGCTTAGTCTTCTCCTTGACAATACTGCATACGATTGACCATGCAGAACAGGATTCCACTTTCTTGAGGTCTGACTAATCAGAGGGCCCTCTGATTATCTCCCAGAAATGGATCTGTTCTTTATCCTCCTTGTCCATCACGTTGGAAAGAAAACCAATCTCAGAAAGATTGTTCTTTCCAGAATACTTGCCCTGCTTTGAAGCTTCTGTCTGTACGTCTCATGGCCCAGAGAATCAAATTACAGACTCGTTGGTGTCCAGGACCCTGCAGATCCACGCCTTCCTCCCTCTCTCTGCCCCCTGTCCAGCCTCAGCTCTCTTGTCAGGCACCCAGTTATGCCTCTCTACCTTTATTCTTGCTGTGTCCTTCACGTCCCAGCTTCTCCTGCTTATTTCTTGTTGGGTTTTCTCCCTTCTCCTCCTCTTGTCTTTCCCAAGTACACCTGTTCTGGGGGGTGTGGCAACCCAAGCTTTCCTGTGTGCTTTGCTAAATGCCCCAGCCCATGAGTCTTTCCATTCGTTCATATAGCTCCTGATAATGCCACCAACTCATTTTAGAGCTTCAGCAAAACAGGGCAACTATATCTCATGTTCCTCTGGTCTCCCCCAAAACTAAGCTCTTAAGGAACAGCTCCCGTACTCTTCCACATGTGCCTCGCACAGGGACAGTCTTAGGATTCTCTTACTTTTTGCAGAGGACTTGCTTTCTTTCGATATCTGGATGCAACTTGAATGAAGGCTTAACACAGCTCCTTCTGGCCACTGGCTGCTATGGCCTTGTGTATGTTGGGATTTGCTCTTAAAGAGAACAGAAAGGAATCTTCTTTTCAGGAACTAGGAGGGTTGGCAGCTGGTGGACATATGAGTATTGCCATGGAGAATGTGTAGCTTAACCTTTTCAGCAATACCATTTCTTAGGTAGAAAGAGTACAGAGGAATTTGTCTTTAGAAATGGCAGTGAAGGAGACAGCTCCCATGAAGACAAACAGCATTTAAACGTGTTTTCCTAGAGATTGTGGGGATGTGGGTGAGCCACCTGAGGTATCTCAACAAGGGGTTTGGGTTAGGGGTGGTGTGTGGGAAGCACAGGGAGCCACAAGAGGAACTCCTGTGCAGACATCTGTGGGCATCCTCTCCTACCAAAGACTTTTAATGAAGTGTGATTCTCTTAGGAGAAATCTATGCTTCTGTCATGGATGTTAATAGAGGAACTTAACTAAGAAGCATTACTTAAAGGTCCATTTTGGCCTCTGAGTCAAAGGCCAGTCCATCTGGAAGAGCTAAAAAAACTAATGGGATACAGCAAAAGCAGTGATGAGAGGAAAGTTTACAGTGATAAATCCCTACATTCAAAAAGTGGAAGGATATCAAATAATCTAGCAATGCATCTCAAAAAGCAAGAATAAACCAAATTCAAAATAATAATAAGGAAAGAAATAATAAAAATTAGAGAAGAGATTAACAAAATAAAAATCAAAAACTAAAGTTCAGTGAAATGAAGAGCTAGTTTTGTGAA